ATTCTGATGACCGTGGCGTAGAGCGGCGGCTGCACGCTCGTTTCAGCGACTCTATGATCAACTTCAGCTGGAAGGTTTACAGATGTGATGAGCAGCAGGCTGTAGCCTCACTCCACCAATCAGAGCCGTCGCTGTTTTGGTTTGTGTTCAGTGTAGTTGTGTTTCTGCGACGTGGTGCAGACGAGTCGCGGCTCACATTGAAGATGTGTGAGCAGCGTTTGGACGAGGTGTAGCTTCTGGTCCCGCCCCGCCCAGCTCTGCATGAGTGACACACACTGTACCCCTGTGTGTGTGTAAATGCTGCACTAAGTTCAGTTTAATGAGTAAATTCTGAATTTATTTTATTCATGTGAACATTAAAGACAAGCTGCTGCTCAGCTCAGATCTGGTCTCACGTTCCAAATTTCTCCTTAAGCTTTCAGTCACGCTCACGCGGCGCCTCGATGAGGCTGAAGTTTATCGAGCCGCTGAAAACTTCCAGGATGGTGAGACGAGACAAAGAGAGGAAGAGGGGAAGGAGAGGACAGAGGGGGGAGGGCGAGGAGCCGAGGAGGAGGAGGAGGGGCGTCCTGGGTCAAACGGGGGAGGAAGCGCATACCTCCTTCCCCTCAGTGCTGGAAAATAAGCCAGCTGATGGACGCGAGGGGCAGGACGAGGAGCAGGGCCAGCGCAGAGGAGGAAGAGGGAAAGTTGTGAAGAGGAGCCGAGGTTTCAAAAGTGGAAGAAAGAAGAGGAGGAAGCAGACGGATCAGAGGAGGCGCCGCTGCTGGAGGATCTCCTTACCGAGGCGCCGAGTGAAGGGGAGAACTCGGAGCAGATGATGTCATAGCTTAATGATGTCATCAGATTAACGTGTGGGTGACGTCGCTCCGTTTCCCTCGACAACAGCTCGGCGTGGTTCGGAGGCGTCGATGTGGATGTTGTTTGATCGACGGCTGCTCTCTCACAGGCTCGGTGTGAGAGTGGGCGGGGCCGTGTCGTAATGGCGAGATACATCCTGTGCTGGGGGGGCGGGGCTCTGGAGGACAGGTACATGTATGCCTCGCCCTACCCGGCTGTGTACAGGTGAGGTTAAAGCTTCCTGTTTCTGAAACGTGAGATCAGTGATGTCATTGATCTGAATTTATCCATTAATTTATTTATTAGTTTGTTATTGACGAAAATGACAAAGTTAGATGTTGTCAGCAGGAAACACCCCAGCACACGGTCAAAGGGATGATCTGATTGGACTGTTTCTGAGTGATGCTCAGGTTTAAAACCAGTGATGGTTTAGCACAAACCCTGCAGTTCCTCTACCGTCCAGCAGGGGCAGCAGCGAGTCAGTCCCCACAGACTCCCCTGTTAAAACTGGTACACGAACTGTTATTGGCTCTGTAGATAACAATGGCTCGCATTATTGGGGGCGTGGCCTCTTTGAGCTGCTAGCTTCACCGGTGACGGTGTTTGCAGAGTGCACAGTGAGACGTGAGGATTGGATTGGATGTTACTAATTCGCAGACGTCCGTGTCTGAGCGATGCTCCCGTACAGTCTGTGGCTGCTAGCTCTACCAGAATCCTTCATATCGCCGTCTTTCACATAAACACAGATTTGTTCTCGTGTCGTAAACAAAAAAACCGCAACCCCGAAAAAGGAAAACAATGGAAAAGTAACCCCTCCCTGAGCCTGGTCCTGCTGGAGGTACTTCCTGTCAGTTCTTCCTTCCTACTGTCACCACATGTGTGCTGATAGTCTGATTGTTACCTCACTACAGCACCTTGAGGGGACTGCTGTTGTGATTTGAGCTACAGAAAAAAGTGAACGAGAATCAGCTGAGTCTTGCTGTGATTGGTTGACTGTATTCATGAGAGGAAGTTGTTTCAAAGACGTCGTGAGCTGCAGTTTCTCTGTAAAACCAACAGCGGCACGTTAAAAATGTTCACTGAGGGTCAGTCTGACATTTTAAAAGCTGTTGGTGACGTTCATGAATCTTGTGCGGTTGTGCAGAGAGGATCTACCGGCCTGCTGTGTAGACGCCCTCGGTCCTGTCGCCGTCTCGCAGGACTTCAGCCTGTTTTTTATTTTGTTCCACTGATGCAACTCCGTGAAACGTCCCCACGCCGACGCCGCGCGCTCTCCGCAGCAGTGTTTGTCCGTCGTTGCTGTGTGTCACTCAAGGAGAGGACGGAGGCCGGGAGGGGACGCCGTCAGACCGCCAGTTTTAACCTCAGCCGTTAGCGTGCAGCGCGCCTTCCTCTGTGTTTTCACTCGTTCTGATTCAGTTCTTTCATGATGTTTGTTTGATTCACAGGAGATTTCACATATAAATAAAAAGAGGCGTCATGTAGCGAGTCTACAGTACAGCTGCTGGTACCAGCCAGCCCAGCAGGAGGCGCTCTTACGAAACCTGCCCGGTAACTGCAGGTCAGGCTGGAGCTTTACGTTCAGTAAAACGACTGTTTACCTACAGTGTTGTTGGATTTGCTTTATGGCGTTTCATTCCCACGTTTACTTTATGTAAACGTCCCGGCTGGAGCTGAACCGACGGTTTACTTTAACCTCGTGAGCAGCGGTCACCACTGACCGTGGGTGTCCTGATGGTCGGACGCTGTGGTGGGCGGGGTTTGGGGGCACATCTGTGACACCTCGGTCCGAGTGAGCTGAACTGAAGTGAGTGAGTTGTTGGCGACGGGGACACGCGGCTGAGAAGCAAAGGGGCGTGTCTGATATGTGACGCATCATCGTGATGGTCGGAGAGAAAAATGAAAACCAGTCAGCTGAGTCGGTTTAAGGACTTCAGGACATTTCTAACACGACTCAGGCTCTCTGCACCGTCCGTTCAGTTTTTATTCGTGTTTCACTAAAACGTGTTTTCACATCTATTTTTAGTCCGCTGTAATAACCTGATGTTAAAACCCTAAAAACACTAAAGCTGGTGTGGATTTGACACAGTGTGGTTTCAGAGACTTCACATTATGGAAACAAACCGGTGCTTGTTTGATGTGCTGCACGCACTGATATGACAGCTTTGCAGACTGCGTCCACTCTGACGTGTGCAGGTTAAAGGCAGACCGTCCGTGGACTTTACAACGTTTTCCTTCAATCACAGAAACCTAAATGTTCACATTAAAAGTCACTCGCAGCGCTCACAGGTTTATTTTTCTCTAGTAAAGCTCTCACTCCTCAGATGTTGGTTTCAGTCACAAACTTGCAGCTCGTGCAGCTTCTCAGTGTTGTTGAACGATGTCGGACGCTGAGGCTTTTCCTGCAACACATCCTTTCAGGAGTCCCGGTGCTGTGAGTGCCTTTGGTCCAGTCTTCACAGCCGGGTTTGAATTCGTGAGGGCGTGCTGGGAGCCGCCAGCTCTGACCTTCACTGCTTTAACAGCCTGACGTGAGCCTCAGGGTTGCCTCTCAGGGTGCTGATGGAGGAGCTCGTCGCGTGTTTTCCTGTAACTGTGTGATCTGACTCAGCAGGAACTCGGCTCTGCTCTGAGGCTTCGCTCCGCTTCAAACAGACTCCATAATGAACCTTCCTGCGATTTTCACTGGGTCCAGACGTTCCTGCAGAATAACAGTCCCTGCAGGCAGAGGATCTCCTCTGGAGTTTGCAGGAAGTTTGCTGTTTTAACTTTCCAGCTGAGCATCCATTATAGATCAAGCACCGGACTCGTGGTGAGGCCTGAGCGGAACATGTGAGGCTGAGGAAAGCCTCACGCTCTCACTGAGGTGCCTCATCGTCCTCGAGTTACAGGACGACTGATTGAGGATACAGTCGGGCACGTGTTGGCGTGGCAGTGTTTCCAAACCGCATCACTAAATCTGGTCGTTGATGACCACGTCTGGACGCGAGGCTGAGCTATTGGCTGTATGTTAGCATCGCTCAGACACAGATATCTGCTAATCAGTAACATTCAAATCAAATTTCACTGTGCAGCCCAACTGAAGCTCCGCCTCCTCAGACAGTCTGTACAGTAGCCTCACAGCAGCCATATTATTGGTCACATGATGTCATTAAAAGCTCCCACAGCATAAACACAATGCAGAGGTCCAGTTCAGGTGAAGCTAGCAAACAGCTAGCAGCTACAGCTGCCTGTCAGTCAAAGAGGCCACGCCCCTGATGGTGCAAACTCACTGGGCCGTTGCTACAGAGACGAGCAGTTTGTGTATCAGCCTGTAAACGTGTTTGTTTCTACAGTTTTGTCTGTGGGGACCGACTCACTGCTGCCTCTGCTGGACACTAGAGGGACTGCAGCCTCCCTTTTAACGAGTAATCATGTGATGCGCTCAGAAACAAAACCGTAAACATGCGTCACTCTGAACCTTGAACCAGTCTGTGAGCTGTTTGTAGACGCGTCTGCATGTGGGCTTTGTTGACACAAACACTGATTAACAGCAGGCTAACTCTTTAAACCGGGGCTCCGAGAGCCTCGCGTTCGTGCCGGCTGTCACTCAGCGCCTGTTTGTGGTTGTTGTGGTGTGAGTCTGACTGACACGCCCTGGAAAATAACAGCGTTTCTGCCTTTCTCTGCATTCCTGCTTTCCTCCCGTCTGGCCTTTCGTTTCGAGCTCTCCGTCTTGTTTTTTCGCTCTGCTGCTCGGTGACTCATTGTTCTAAGCCTCTGTGTCTCAGCTGGTGGATCAAACCAGTCTCAGCTCAGATGGGGGGAGCACCAGGTGTCCAGATTGGGCCTGATGAAAAATGGAAATGGACGTTTTCAACAACAAGGATCTGGGCGTGCATCCTAATGCTGTCATCCATCTCCACCTGGTACGGAAACAGAGAATCTGCACGACACAGGAGGTCGTTTAC